TCTTAACTGTGACCCAATATCATTTGCATTGTATGGGAAAATGCACTAAAGCGCTGCTCCTTTCCTTTTTGTGGGTTTTTGTTTTTTTGCTGTGCATAAACTGATTTTGTGTCATGAATGGATACCCCAAACCCTTTGTTTTTCTTTTATGCATGTGAAAGTCGTCAAAACATAGAAAACATAAACACTGTAGCGATGATACAAATATGTTGAAAGCCCATTTTCTTTTAAATAAAAGTAAAATTTACTAAACTTGTTTAGTTATCAAGGTAGTGATGATACAAATGAAATTGATATAGGTCTAAAATATATTAATGTGGTTTGCCTGCAACAATACTTGTTGGAAGCGATACACATCCAACCTGCTTCATTGGACAGTGTCTTTCAGTATCAAAGACCAATTCCTTCTTTTCCAATAGAAACGCACAAAATAATTACATTACTATAATCATGTTACTTCATCCAAACCTGTCTAAGTATGTTATTGTAAAATTGTTTAAGCATATGTAACGAATTCAGTTGTCTTCATCTTTTACGTCAATATTAATAGTGTGTTCAATTACGAGAACAGCAAATATTTGCTTTCACCAAGAGCGCTTCGATCTAAAAGAATTGCCGTCTTTGTCCTATTAAAATAGAAAAAAATCATGGGGGCTTGAATTTATATAGATTTTACGCTATGATCGCTTGTGGTAAAATATTGGCACTAAGGGCCAACCCGTTGTAAAATCAGTATAAATTCCAAGCCTCCATGAATTACGTTTTAGTTAGATAACACTGACATCATATTTTACAATGTTTTGTTTTATATTAACTTTTTTTGGATATACTTTTGTCCATCAGAAATTCTATTACAAATAAAAATATCACTTCATAAATTTCGTGCATCTGAAGCACTTTTCTGGATTAAACTTCACCAGTAACGCTCAAACACAAGCATGTGAAGGTCAAGGTTGCCTAAGACCTAAACTCATGAAGAGCTACATGATCAATAGAAAACCTTGATAGTTAAATCAGATGTTAGGTGAAGAAATTAAATTGTGTCATCCATGTTAATACATTTTGACGCCAGCAAAGCTTCAAAATAACAGAACACAGAATATGATTTAAACAGATTTTGTCCATTACGCGAACTTTATCATTAACATAGAACATATCAATAACATAGGTTTCACAATTATCATCAACATAGAACATATCAATAACATAGGTTTCACAATTATCATCAACATAGAACATATCAATAACATAGGTATCACAATTATCATTAACATAGAACATATCAATAACATAGGATCCACAATTATCATTAACATAGAACATATCAATAGCATAGGTATAACAATTATCATTTACATAGAACATATCAATAACATAGCTTTCACAATTATCATTAACATAGAACATATCAATTACATAGGTATTACAATTATCATTAACACAGAACATATCAATAACATAGGTTCCACAATTATCATTAACATAGAACATATCAATAACATAGCTTTCACAATTATCATTAACATAGAACATATCAACTACATAGATTTCACAATTATCATTAACATAGAACATATCAATAACATAAATTCCACAATCATCATTAACATAGAACATATCAATAACATAGGATCCACAATTATCATTAACATAGAACATATCAATAACATAGGGTCCACAATTATCATTAACATAGAACATATCAATAACATAGGGTCCACAATTATCATTAACATAGAACATATCAATAACATAGATTCCACAATCATCATTAACATAGAACATATCAATAACATAGATTCCACAATTATCATTAACATAGAACATATCAATAACATAGATTCCACAATAATCATTAACATAGAACATATCAATAACATAGATTCCACAATTATCATTAACATAGAACATATCAATAACATAGATTCCACAATTATCATTAACATAGAACATATCAATAACATAGATTCCACAATATCATTAACATAGAACATATCAATAACATAGGTTTCACAATTATCATTAACATAGAACATATCAATAACATAAGTTCCACAATTATCATTAACATAGAACATATCAATAACATAGGTTCCACAATTATCACAATTATCATTAACATAGAACATATCAATAACATAGGTTCCACAATTATCATGAACATAGAACATATCAATAACATAGGTATCACAATTTATCATTAACATAGAACATATCAATAATATAGGTTTCACAATTATCATTAACATAGAACATATCAATAACGTAGGGTCCACTATTATCATTATACCTCATATCAACGTTTCACAGATTCAAGGTATATTGTCAACGCCTTTTTTCTTCTTCAAATTAATCAGATTTGCGATTGTTTTAAAAGCATAAGCACGAAGTATATGAACAATGCGAAAAAAAAGGATTTATGAATTGGGTGGACAGAGCTAATAATTCTATGATATTGTTGTTTTTTTTGTATTACGGCACAGGTTGTTTTCATACAAAATGACAACATATGACAAGATCAAATGATTTGTTTTTTAGCCAATAAAAGATCAGATAAAGTTACAATGGTTAACGTTGCTTTCTATTCTGATCATCCAACAGCAATTTAGTATGATGGTAGTTTAGTATCAATAAAAAGACATTATAATTCAACAACGCATCTTGTGAGACCTTCAAAGGGGCCATTTTGGTGATGTTAAACCACTCTTTTTTGGACAAAAGGTTGGAGAAGCGCTAACAAACTTTGTTAACCCTCCAAATTCTTTACGTGCATGTCTCAAGCAAGATAACTCTCGGATATGGTTTATTACTGTGTGTTCTTTAAAAATGTGTTCAAACTGCTTGGTCCGAATTGTTGTCACATTTACCTATTATATTTATAAATAAACTCATCATAGAGGGGTTTTCATTTTTTTTTTGGGGGGGGGGATTGCTCCCGGATCCCGCTTATCATTGTAATAATAACGCTTGTAATTTCACGTGCCCCGTCCGACTTCGTTTCCCGTTTTCACTCACAATAACTTGACTTTCACGAGTCACGATTACAAAAAATTGGCCAATGCCGCGTCACGCTTAGACCAGAATGAGACCCACCATAGCCTATAAATGTCTGTATGGGATGCTCACCCAATTTTGTCAATATAACGGAACTGTAAAGAACTGTCTTACAATTGGGTGGTTTAGCTATCTATAAAACCAGGTCTAACCCACCATTTTCTTTGACACATATTTAAATCGAGTTGACATTTTAGGAAACGAAAATTGTTAAATCGCTGGGATGTTAGGAATGGTAGCCAATGAGTCAACTACCCACCAAAGTTCAAATGATGTGGATTGAAGTCCGAAAAAGATAATCATGGTTAACATACAGAGTTACATTGGTATTACTCCAATCAAATAGGGTCTATACAGAGGACTTTTTTAATGTATTGCTTACAAATATAGTTGTTAAATGGCTCTACATTTTAATTCATCAAGAAATAGATTGTTATGCCGAATGATGAACGTAGAATGAATAAACTGTTGGTAAAGTACATGATGTGCTTTCGGTGGTGGGTTTATGTATATATACGTTTAGAAATAAGATCCAGGTGGAAACAAAATATATAAAATAATATTTGATTATTATGAAATTATTGTAATAGTTATGTAAGACACATGATGTGTTAGGCTCTAATCCTGTCCATAACATGATAGTATTATATTAGGTTCTTGTTTTTATTTTTTCCAATCATATTCTGCATAATATTGTTGTAAAATGATGCCCTTTATGGGTTCTTTATTAGATTAATAAAATTCTTATTCTTATTCTTATTCTTATTCTTATTCTTATTCTTATTCTTATACGGCTTACTTTTGTGAACTATATTCTACTATATATATATGTAGTGCGTAGTATTATTATTATATTTGGGTCGCATATGCAGATGTTTTCTACTGTTTTTAAAGTTCCGTTTCATATGGCATAGAATAGAATAGAAAATTTTATTTAAAGTCGGGGTTACATCAACATTACAAACATAAGCTCTGTAGAGCTTTTTGCCGACATTAATAACAATAACAACATATACAATATTAAGACATATAGGACATATAAAACATACATATTAGACATACAAAGTAAGACAGCTATATTGCATAAGCATATATAAAAGCAAAGCACAAACAAGTAAAGCACTAAACTAGATTATAAGCACATGCAAAGCAGACGAATTAAATAAAGCAAAACTAGTTCTAAAAGTTGCATTGAAAACATAAAAAATCAAAAGCTATAAGATCTGCAGGAGCCACATCTGCATGAGTTGCCATTCCAGTTGTTGATCATACTTTTAAACTGGTTCAGGTTCGACTGCGCACGGATCGCGTCAGGCAGCTCATTCCAGAGTGTAGCTCCAGCATACTAATAATAGCATTGGACTAATGCATACATTTTATTCATACGAATACGAACCCGAATGCAAAAGTTTTATTTTGATTCGGTTCACATACAACAGTACACACATAAGCCCTTATCGCTTTTTACCGAATATAAATAACATGTACATAACATTAGAGACGTCTCTGTTAACATTAAAACAGAGCGCATGCATGCAGATAAGATATATAATCAACATATATTACAATGCATAGATGCAGTATAGGTATATTTAAACTTAAAACACAACTAATCTACACATATGAACATGCTAAAGCTGAAACATAACTAAATTAAAAGCACAACTAAAATTTAAGCACAACTAAAATTTAAGCACAAATAAAAATTATGCACAACTAAAAATTAAGCAAAATTATTTTTATATCAAATGTACGAGACGGTGACACTCGTCAATCGTCAATCTATTAACGTAAGTAATTGTCATAAAATGGTTTGATTATTTAATGTGGGTTGTATATATATATATGTCTCTGGTTGAATATACGCAGTGGTTGTCATTTTAATTACGTTATCTTTATTTTATTTTGCTGGTATTTAGTGATTTTAGTTTTGGTTCGTTTCGAATGGAAATACCAGTAAGTCTTTCACGTTAAAAACATGGCTGATCAAAAAAGGTCGGAAGACGTCCTTGGTGAAAAGTGGGATCGATGCATTGCAGATACGGCAATTAAAACAGGTTAAACAATAAAAATAAAAGGAAACGTAAATGGCGTTTTTAACCCAAATTTAATATGCATTTATCATGATAAAAAAATGTTTTTAAGCAGATCTATAAATAACCATGATAACCTGTAATTAGGCCAACTAAAATTAATAAGTAGATTTTAATCCAGATTTTTGAAAAAATTGGGTGGGTGGAAGGATTTTGATGCCCCCGCCGTAGAGGTGGGGGCATTAAGTTTTACCCTTGTCCGTCTGTACGTACGTACGTACGAACCGTACGTCCCAAAATTGGTTTCCTTTCTCTAACTTGAGTTTGCCTCAACCAAATGTTATGAAACTTATACACAATGCTTATCACCACAAAACACAGATCAAGTTTGAATTTTGGTGGCGTCATTTTAACCGTTCTAGAATTATGCCCCTTTATAAATGGAAAAATTGCAAAATTTTTAGTTTCCGTTCTCTAACTTAAGTTTGCCTCAACCAAATATTATGAAACTTACACACAATGCTTATTATCACAAAACACAGATCAAGTTTGAATTTTGGTGCTGTCATTTATAGAGTATACCGTTATAGAGTTATGCCCCTTTATAAATGGAAAAATTGCAAAATTTTTATATTCTTCTAAATATCAAGTAATTTTTAAAATTGGAGTTATCTTCCTTTGTCCATGATTATAGTCGAATCAACTACAATCAATGCTTTATACAATGCAATGTTTAATTTTGACTTCCAGTGATAAAACACAGATCAAGTTGAATTTGGGTAGTGTCACTTTAACCATTATTGAGTTATGCCCCTTTATAAATCGAAAGATTGCAAAATTTTTAGTTTCCATTCTGTAACTTAAGTTTGCCCCAACCAAACATTATGAAACCTATACACAATATTCATTACCACAAAACTAAGATCAAGTACAAATTTTTTGTTTCCGTTTTCTAACTTTAGTTTGCCTCAACCAAATGTTATGAAACTTATACACAATGCTTATTACTATATAATACAGATTAAGTACGAAATTTGGTGGCGACACTTTTACCATTCTTGTATTTTTTCATTTTTATTTCTCCCAAAACCATTTTGTAATGTGTTCTTTATATGCACTTGCATGGGTAATAATAAGCTAATATCATGTATATATAACTTATAAGGAATTCTATGGTTAGATCATATGTTTTCGTACGTCATATGAATTCGTACTATGCATGCTTTTTCAATGGAAATTGTGATGTCACAATGCTTTCTTAATAGCACGAAAACCCATGAGACGAGGACACATAATTTTTGAAATTCGTAAATAAATATTTCTGATTGGCAACCACTGTTCCACATGTAATTGTCGCTTCAGAAACCTATTTTCAGTAAATAGGAAAAACGTGGAGAAATGCTCTCATTTAGACTAACCTACATCAAATTTATTTAGCTTTCTATGCTATGGCTTGTAGTGCCCATAAAATGAAGCATATGCTTTGGTATATGTAACACAAGTTTGGAGTACAGAGTGAAATGAAAACTCAAATGTGTTGAAAATACTAGGGTTGATGCTTTTAAGGTTCTTATTTAAGGTGCAAATATAAAACATGAACTTAACCAAAAAGAAGAAGTTGTTTAAAAACTCTATTGAAGGGCTGGGGACAGAGGGTGTTTGCTGTTTGTCAACAAAGAACAACAGCCTTGGGCTTGGGGGTAAATCTAAGGGCTTGCTATTATAGATTTAGTATGTTGGCTGACTTTTTGTACTCAATATATATACAGTCATAAATCGCACAAGTTTAAAAAATATATATACATTCATAAATCGCACAAGTTTGTGGTTGTGTCAACTTCTTTATTCCAGTCATGTCTATTGTACCAATGTGTTCCACGATTCTTGCGCTTTGGATATCATTCACAGTCCAAATTTCCTGACACAAAGTCATTGTAAATATAACAAAATCCACTGTTTTCTAATCACTGAAATTTGTGACATATCCCGATTTGCGTTTTTGGACACCGCCTATTACTCGTAATTCGAATATTTCTTGCCCTTCCTGTACTCAATCTAGCTATTCTTGAAAGATAATGTTGTCATCTTAGAGCAGCAGAATATGTCGACTTAATTATTTTTGTTACTGGAAGAACTACGAAAACCGAAATTTACAACAGGAAGTTTTGAATGAAACGAAATTATAAGTGGTTACACATGTTACAGGTAACGGAAATGTACAAAATCCAGAAATCATAAATTTTTGAAAGTAAAAAAAATTGGGGCAGGACGATTTTAGAGGGGCGGGCAGGGATGAAAATCTATCAATTAATTTTAATTGGCCTTATACCTACATGTATGCACCCACTACCAAATTGTTCTCTGATCAGCAAACATTATTTAATTTACTGTAGATAGACATGGAAAATACAGACCTGTGACAGATTTATCTATTGTCACAACTGAAGATTTTAAGTTTGAGTTTGGGCCTCACACATTTCATAATCCATGATTTTCCAACTGATTCTTTTTCCTGAGAAAGTTTGACATCACAAAGCAAATATCTTAACGTTCCAATGTGATATGACAGGTAAATACAGCTGGTTCACAAACCACACCTCTTTTGGGGAGATATTTGATATTTGTAGATATTTTGTTTTGTATATTACTTTTTTGAAACATATCATGTCTTCCTTTATTTATAAATGATTACATGTTACATCAGTAAAAACAGCTCCTATTTCTTTTTGCAGCTAGTGGATTGGGTGTTGGTATAGTGCTGTCATTCATTCTTTTCAAAAGTAAGTAATAATGTATTCTACATTCAATTAAAAAATCGCCTACAGTTGTAATAAAACATTGATCAAGATAGACAAATAATTGCATTATTTAATTACTTTCAGAAAACATGGAAAAAGCTAATGAAAATATAGATTAAAAAACAAAATTTTAATTCAAGTGGAAGAAAAAGGTTCAAGTTGTCAAACATGTGACTTATGCAATCTGCATTCCCCCTTTTTAAAGAGTAGAAGATTATACTCTGTTATTGTAAAAGTTGACAAAATTTCATGCCAAATAACACAAGTACAACAATTATCCATCAAACATGTCAAATAGAATCAATTTACAAGTGTAAAAGGATATGCATAAATATTAACTGCAACTTGCAACTTGATGATCTGAATAAATTTCTTATCATAATTTTGAATTCATTTCGTAGTTTACAATCAAATTAATGCATCTGGTTTACATTCAGAATCAAAAGATGCATGTTGCATGGTCTGTTACTATAGCCATGATGGCATTTGCAATGTTAGGTCATTAAAACCATTTTAGTTTTAAACTATTGCCTTCCACAAATCTTTTTTCAGCATTTTACAAAAATGGGTACTTAACTTGTTGTTGATGCTGCAAATCGACTATGCCAGTTCCTCATTCTAAAAAAAAAAACCTGATTTTTATACGCCCGTTTACGGGACATATTATGGTATACCGTTGTCCGCTCGTCCGTCTGTCCGTCGTCAACATGTCGGACATTTACTCAAAAATGCTTTCACCAATTTGCATAAAACTTTGGTGAATTGTTCATATCTATTGACGTGAGCTCCCTTTCGTTTTTTATAAAATTTAGATTTTACGTTTCCGAGTTATGGGGTTTTATTCATTAAAAAAAGGGGGATTTTCCAGTTTTCGGACAATAAGTCAAGAATGCTTTCACCAACTTGCAAGAAATTGTGGTGAATTGTTTATATCTATTGACATGAGCTCCCTTTTGATTTTTATAAATTTTAGATTTTACGTTTCTGAGTTACAGGGTTTTATTCATAAAAAAAGGGGGAATTTTTCAGTTTTCGGACAAAAACTCAAAAATGCTTTCAGCAATTCTTATAAAACTTTGGTGAATTGTTTGTATGTATTGATGTAAGCTTCTTTTAGAATTTTATAAATTTTACATTTTACATTTCTGAGTTATGGGGTTTTATTCATTAAAAAAAGGGGTGATTTTCCAGTTTTCGGACAATAACTCAAAAATGCTTTCAGCAATTCTTATGAAACTTTGGTGAATTGTTTGTATGTATTGATGTAAGCTTCTTTTAGAATTTTATAAATTTTACATTTTACATTTCTGAGTTATGGGGTTTTATTCATTAAAAAAAGGGGTGATTTTCCAGTTTTCGGACAATAACTCAAAAATGCTGTCACCAATTCTCAGGAAACTTTGGTGAATTGTTTATATCTATTGATGTAAGCTCCCTTTTTATTTTCATAAATTTCTAATATGACATTGAGAATTAATTGAACTTTATTTGTTTATAGTCTGACAACAGATATACATGTACTAAGTATTGCACAACAGCAAGAAATCTTTAATTGAATATAAATTCAATTCATATAACCAATTTCAAGTTCTTTGACTACATTTATTCAGAAACCTATAATATGTCAAATATTTAGTTACAATCCAAATTCAGACCTGAATCATGCTTGAATATTTTGTCCATTTTTGCCCCAACTGTTCAGGGTTGGACCTCTGCGGGAGTATCTAGCTGCACTCAGTGAAGCAGTTTATTAAAATCTAACAAACATGACAAAACTATTAAAATAGCAAAAAAATGACTCAGAAACCCTCTGATACGAAAAGACTAACATAATTGCTGCTGAATTGTGGTTGTCCTTGACTAAGAGTAGCCAGACTTGACACTGAGATTGTTACAAATGACAATAATGAAAATATTGGTTATTCTATAATGAAATTAATATAATTAAGAAATATTGGCATAAAAGTTGAGAATATTTATATGATGCTGAAGACTAGTACACTGTTATCATGGTTATGTATTTACTTTACTAACAATATTGATGTTTTTCAATTTCTCTGTAGGAAAAACATGGCCTGTAGCACTTGGTACAGGATTTGGACTGGGTATGGGATATTCAAATTGTCAGAATGATTTTCAGCAGCCATATTTATTACATGGGAAAAGAGTTAAGGTAATAATTGAAGACAACTGTATAACAAAAAATATATCATGTTTATGTATAATATTTAAACTGCGATAAAGAATGAAATACATAAATCAAAAAGTGGATGTAACTTATGAAATAACGATGTGGTATAAATATGCCAATTATCAATCAACCAAATGACCCCCCACCCCCAAAAAAACCCAACAAAAACCCACAAAAAACAAAAAACAAAGCAAAAAAAACCAAGCTATTTACATGATATGATTGGTGGTTGTATTATTTGACAATAACTCAGAATTAGATAAAAATCAAATTAAGGATTGCTGGATGCTTCTTCTGCTACATAGAAACCCTCACAATAAATTCTGGAACAGGTTTTATAAATATCATATAAATGCCAACAAGTTCTTAAAACTGACAAAAAATTGTGGAAAAGACTGAATTTTCATCTATTTCTTAACAAGTTATATCACATCTTTTTATTCTATTTTGTAGGCACCATTAAATGGATCACAGAGTTGAAAGAAGATTTTGTATTTAGATGTTATGAAAAAGAACATTGTTGACTTTGTAAATGTAAATGTACAACAGTCATGTCATGAATTATTGTGACATGTTTATGAAGCAACATTTTATATACGTATATATACATGTTTTGATGTCATAAAAAATATGAATGTAAATTAATTTTTTATTTGTTATTAATTTTAAGTTTTAAGGATCGTTCAAATAATGTTGGACTTTTGTATTTAACTCCTCGAGTTCCATGAAGTTATGAAAAGGAAAACTTCATGTTCTATATATACTCACAGATCAGAATTGATGAAGCCAAAGAAGTAAATTTTATCATTCATGGGTAACTAAATTTTTGGGATTTCATAGAATTAGGTGAAGCATGATTCCATGATTATAAGTGTCAATTTTAGCTACATAGTTTGTCAAAACTGAAAAATCAAAATTCCCCACATTTTATTTCTTTATGCCCAGTCGGAGCGGAGGGGGCATTAAGGTTTACCCTTGACTGTCTGTACATCCATCTGTACATACTTCTGAAAGTGGTTTCCGTTCTCTAACTTTAGTTTGCCTCAACAGAATGTTATGAAAATTATACACAATGCCTATTAGCACAATACTCAGATCAAGATCGAATTTGGGTGGCGTCACTTTTACCGCTCTGGAGTTATGCCCCTTCATAAATGGAAAAAATACTGAATTTTTCCGTTTCCGTTCTCTAATTTTAGTTTGCTTTAACCAAATTTTATGAAACTCATACACAAAGCTTATTACCACAAAATACAGATCAAGTTCGATTTTGGGTGGCTTTACTTTTACAGTTTTCTAGCTATGTCCCTTTATAACGTTATATGCAAGTGGGGCATCATCTGTGTCCCATGGACACATTCTCCATTTATTTATTTTAAAATAGACACTCAGATATTCAATTTAGGATGATGTGTATGTGTAACCTTGATTGTCAAGGAACCAACTTCATATTTGGATTTTCCAAAATGGAAATCCAGTTATTATTTTAGTGTTGTATGAAGGTCAGGCAGGCTGACTTGTGGCTTCTGGCTTGATGTGTTTCCTTGCATAACTTAAGAACCTTTAATGCAATGTGTTTTAAATTTTAACATGTCAAAGATTTAGAGGTTAAGTTTGATATTGATGATTTTTACTTTGCCTTTTTTGATTGAATGGCTATTTACATTAATTCCTTTCAGTAACTTTAAAACTATTCAAGCAATGCTTTTCTTGATGGGCATGCTTTGCAGACTAAACAACGGTAAAACACAAGTGGATACACTCTTACAAATAAATACCTAGCATATGTGCTACGTTTGAATTCTAGAACATTCCATGGTTTGGAGAATTTATTTTAAAAAGTGCATAAACGATGTATTAGTGAATAAACACAAAAAAGGTTTAAATTATGCTTCAGGAGTAAATATGGTTAAGGGAGAACAACCTGCACAATCTAAACTATGTCACTATCAGTTTAATCCACCCATATTTCTAAAAATCCTGCAAATTCGTTCGTTTACTTTTATAGAAGGACAACACTAGGGTTAATCCGGTCAGTTCACAAAAGCACTTGAAGTAAGTATTATTACGTTTTTGTCACATTTTAAAGCGTCTGTGAGTATTTAAATCAATTTGATGAGTCTGTGATCAACGTTGTGTTCTTATTTTTTTCGTCGTGTTTGCAGTCATCTTATTTTGCTTTCACTTTATTCAGTTTTGAACATTTCTGGCAAATGTTGATACAGTCTACTGCTACAATAAATCCAACAACTAACGCAATGCACACTGCCCCAACTAAACCCATAGTTTTTGATGAAAATCTATTGTCTGGTGCACTGATTAATGTCCTTCTGAATTCTGCAAATACAAAGACATATACATATGTATTAAATGCAACAGTAATGGCAGACAAGACTTATAATCTAAAATAAAAAGGGACTCATTTCATAGAACTAATTCTGTCTATTTTCCCTTTTTTAATTAAGGAAATACATTTCATGGTTCATATTGTCTAAAAAGGATATACATTTGTATATGCGTTCAATTAGAAAAGTGTTTTTTTTATTTAAACCACAAATATAAGTTGTCGTCGAATCTTGTTTCTTCCCGAGTATATCTTATATTGAATTGACCAAACTCGAATACAAACATTTTACCATAGGTCACAATGGCTGCATTCTTTTAAGGACAATTGCCATTTTTGACATTTAAATATACACCGTACGATGAGCACACGGGTGTCTTAACTGTTTCAATAAGCCCGCGGTTCGTGATGATTTAAACTCTTTCCATAACAAATAAGATGTTGTTCCAACAGACAACACCTATAACAATATTGCTTTTATATGCAAACATTTTATTTTGAATACCTAACCAAAGAAACAGGAATTTAAGCTCAAGATTCACTGATTAAAAAAAATTGTTGGACCTTTTTTCGACAATATATTTGTCATATTTGGGGGGGGGGGGGGGGGGGGGGGGGGTAGCTAGGATGAAAAATTTTGTCCTGCCTTTTTTTCCCACTATTTGGTCCTGCCTTTCTATTTTTCACTCTATTCGGTCCTGCCTTTTTTTTTTTAGATTATCATGACTTTTTTTTTTACATAAATTGTCATCCTGGCTTTTTTTTTTTGCAAGTAATCTCATTCTGCCTTTTTTTTACTCAAAACCCCTGTCCTGCCTATTTTTTTCAAATTTCATCCTAGCCCCCCCCCCCATAAAAATCAAATGGTAGCTCCATTATTAACTCACATTTCAGTGAGTACTTACATCTCATATATCCCAGTTCACTTGAAATTAAGGATACTACCAAAGAGAAGAGAAGGTCTGCTTTATGTCTTTATCTGCTCTCGATATTGCCACAGATGGCCGTCTTCAAACTAGAATCTATGGCAAACATTAAAATTGTTCACTTTCCATTTTTTAGCAGTGGCATACCTCTACCTCATCGTATGACGTTTACAAATTTCAATTGATATGGTACGCTCATGAAGGTTCACATTATATAAACTGGATTCATAGGGGGTTTTTCCTCACAAAAATTGACCCAACAGAATTATGAGGAAGAACAACTGAAATTAACCCTACATAGGTATAACCATGTTAACGGTCACCATTACGATTTGTTTTTTTTTTACCGATACGATGTACGTGTCTCAATGTACTAGGAATATGTTTCCAGTCTTAAATCTTTAGATAGGAGAAAAAGTATACGTATGATTATCTGTCATTTTTCCAAATGTGATATTTTGACTGAGGATTAGCATGGCGAGTGATTCATGGTTTTATAGCTAGCTAAACCTCTCACTTGTATGACAGTCGCATATAATACCATTATATTGACAACAAAATGTGAGCAAAACAAACAGACATAATAGGTACAATTGTCACAAAATGGGATACAGCAGTCAATATTATGTTGTAATCTTAATCATTATGAAACACAAAACTATTTCAGCAAAGAAAGACAAAATGGCAAATAGACACTCTTTAGACAAAGTACAAAAGCAAAAATGAAAGACAAGAATACAAAAAGTAACCATAGCAGAATAACAGAATGGCGGTATGTTTAAATACCGAACCACGCCAAAAGTATATTACCAAAAATGGACTAAACAGTAAATGTTAAAAATAAAAAACAAATAAAAAGAACACTATAACACGTATTTTAGATGATAAACAACGTCAGACCATAGAATCTATACTTCAAGACCATCTTGTATTATTTGTGAAATTGACACGGAATATTTATCAACAAGGTCTTGGTATCTTCGAATTCCGATGAACTTTTTTTAGAAAAAGGACAAAACGTTCTTTGACATAACCTTGGCTTATCAACGTTCTGCTCAGACACTGGTGACGTTTTATAAAGTCTGAGTAGCAGCTGAAAGCTCTTGAATACCGAATGAGTTGGAAAATGTCTATCCCATATACAGGTGAAGTTGGTATATTGCTGCTATAATTTCAAAATTAAAATTGTCTCGTTTGTTATAGATTCTGGTACTAAGATGATCGTTTATGTCAAAAGAGTAGTGAAATAAGTTGACAATATACAACAAAACAATGTACTGCAATTGTTCATATAGTCGAGCAGACCATCATTTATTGAGTTGATTTTTGTCATATTTTTGTCATTGTAAAAGTGTAATTAACCTAATACTTTAGCTGTAAGTTCAAAAAATGAAAACAACACGTTATAAATTTCATGCATCTCAAGTGCTTTTCTGGATTTACATTCATCAGGAACGCTCAAAGCTGGAATATTTGAAAGCCAAGGATGTATTAGGACCGAAAACGTTGAAGAGCTATAAACCAAAAAGGACTTAAAAATAGCCAAATCATCTAATGTCAGCTTTGTCTGAGGGAATTGAAACCTTAGTTTCAACTTGAAGTGTAACTATTATTTAGACTTCTTAAGTAAACACCATGTTATATCAATTGCTTTAAAGTCCTTTTAATGCTATTTAGCTTTTCTAAAACCATTAGAAATATTATAAAAACCTTTCAATATAGTAAAAGTTGTTTCAAAAATATGTTTATGTTAAAGTAAAATGTCTGATCATTATCTAAACGTGCCTGTAATTATCACTGGACACTAAAACGTTAAAAAATATAATCAATCTTTATGCAAAAACGAAATAAAATATATATGTTCCGGACCATATGAGTATTTGGACCATACGCGTATGGTCATGACCATATGCGCATACCTATATGGTCCGACCATATGCGTATGGTCGGACCATATGAGTATTATACTCGTTTGGTTATTAACGGGTCGGACCATACTAGTATTAAGACCATATAATTATTTTTCAAATAAATCCCTACTTCCTTCGCAGGACCACACAACTTATTCTACGAACCAAAAACGGCACAAGTTACTAACTGAATCCCTTTATCTTTTCATCTTGTCCGAATCTTGTCCGAATCTTGGTGTATCTGTTATCTTGCCTTCGCTAGAATGAATCTAGAGCGTTTTATCTTGTCGACATTTTCGTTCGTAAATGAAACCAAAGGCGTTTTGGGCAGGGACATTTTTTTTATTTTTTTTTAGTGTTAAAATTATTATTTCAGAAACAAAATTTCTTCTTATCTCAACTTATTTTCTTCAATTATTGTTTTCTTACTCATATACATACGATTTTTTTTTAATTTTCAGATCG